AAAAAAAAAAAAAAAATAACAACAAACAAGTAATAAATAGAGTACAATGCATATAAAAGATAATGTTGAGATTCTTTCATCACTTTGAAAATAGACAGCGGCCAAAATCCGGTTTATCAAACGAGCTTTAAGCGAGTTCGAGCTCAACTCGTTTATCAAACGAGTCAACTGAACTCGAGCCTCAACGAGTCGAACCTAATCGAGTGGAGTCGACCTCACGAGGAGCTCCTTTCGTTTAACAGCTCTAATTAACACAAACGAGCCAATCGAACTCAGCCTTAACGAGTCAAACCTAATCGAGTCGAGTCGAGCTCACGAGGAGCTCCTTTGGTTTAACAGCTCTAATCAACACAAACAAGCCAACCGAACTCGAGCCTTAACGAGTCGAACTTAATCGAGTCGAGTCGAGCTCACGAGAAGCTCGTTGTTTAACAACTCTAATCAACACACATACTCGTTTAACAGCTCAAATCAACACACATACCAAGTAATTGGTATTGATGGTATGTATATAAATTTGCAGGGCCGGCCTTGGGGTAGGGCGGGCCGGGCGACCGCACAGAACCCCTTCTTACCCCGGGCCCATTTTTATATACTTCTTTAATAAATATTTTAATTATATAATAAATTATTGAATATAAAATTGATCTTAAATCATTCTTTTTTTATTTCTTAACAAGACTTTTTATATTTTCTCCACCTTATAAATTTCATAACAAAATTAAATAGTAGTTATTATTAGTCAAATTATTATTTTTTGCATACTTTCTCTTATTTTTAATACTTTGTTAATTTTTTTCTTCACAATTTAATTATGTTATAGTGATAGCCAATAAAAGAGTTAAGTGAATTCAGACGAGTTTCATTTTTGATTTTTTATTTATTGTTAAATATAAATTACAAATTAATACTTTCCAATAAAAAAATTCTATATAATTATGACTGAGTATTATGTATTTCACTAAACTTAAGTCATATATTTGAATTAAATGAAAGTTTGGAGCTTTGATTACTTTTTTTTTATCCTTTGAATAAAAAGGATTTTCTCTTTTTTTTTTTTTATTTTTTTCATTTGCGATTCTTAAGAAATTTATGAAACATTATTTTTAAATTTAGCTATATTTTTATTTCAAATTTCTCTGCTTTTATTATTGCGAGTTATATATATATATACATATATATATATATTTTTTGTTAACTTAAAATAATAAAAACAATCAAGGCAACATTTAGCACATTTCGTCCGGGACCTAATAAAGTTCAGGACCGGCTCTGTAAATTTGCTATTTTGTTAATTAACAAAAAAGGAAATTTCTGAAAAGAAAAAAAAAAAACTTTTAACACTCCATAAAAATAACTATGAACTGTCAGTATTTATCTTAGAAAAAAAAAATGAAAAAATAAAATAAAAATATGAAGATAGTCCACGTTTCAGGGTACATACATTAACATTGTCCTTACATTTAAACAGATGAAGAAAATGTCAGAGGCTGTGGTTGTTAGTTGATCAATTACTGCCAATATATGTATATTTGTGTGTTTATCCAACTCTTGAAAAGCTTGTTCACTGGGTTGTTGTTTACACTTTACACCACAATTTTTTACACTAAGCTTTGTCCAGAGCTGCACAAATAGCAAAGTCAAGTTTCAACAGTTTTAATCACACAGAAATCATTTGCTAGCAATCTAATAATCCAAACAGAGTATGAAACCAAAGCAAACAGGCAAAAAATTGGACTATAAAAGAAGTAAAAATCTTAGTACAGAGTCACCAAAATACGAGCATCATCAGAACTTTCATAAGCGGCAGAGTGGCCTTACAGCCTCACACAAAACAACCCAAAAAAGATTGAGAACCAGAACAAAAAGAGATCAGATTTTATCAGCCAAGTACCTTCCAAGAGAATCGATAGGCTTACTAGACGAGATACCGTTCTCCATCCTCCTCTGCCTTATCTTAATCCGAGCAAGGTAATCAGCCGCAATCCACGCAAAGCTCAGCATCACCACTTTCCCGCCATCGTCCACCATCTGCATCTCCTTCGACTTTCTCAGCCAGCTCTCATGGTACGTCACCTGGTACCATGCGGATGCCTTCTTTTCATACATCGAGTTCTTCTCGGCATCCGTTAGACCGTCAAACTCCAGACCTAAGGCCTCGAATATCTTCCGAAATTCTTTTCTCAGGTTGGTGTACGCATGCTTGAGCCTCTCCTTCAGTTCCCCTTGCTTTTTGCTCGTGTATTTAGGCATCGACCAAATATGGCCCGTCACAAGCTCTTCCTCTCTATTCACCTTGTACTGTCCCAAAAGGCCGAGCAGCTGCCCGTCATACGAGCACTTTCGACTCCATGCGTCGTCAATAAAGCTTGCGGACCCCGCAATCTCGAGTGCACTATCGTAGGTTATGTTCTCAAAATCGAATGCACTATCGGAAGAGGATTCGTAGCCCTTGTCGTAAGTGTCCTTGATTTTACGGTAGAGCTTGCCCAGAATTTTGGTCGACTTGTAAGTTTGAAATTCTTCTTTACCCATGAAGTCGGGGTACATCTTTGGCTTGAGCTCCGGGGGCATAGTCACCACCTTGCCCGTCTTGGGGAAATCGACGGCTATTGCCGCGAGCTCGGCTAGTTTTATACACTTCTCGTCGAGGGCGCCATAGCCACTTAAGTCAGCATGGACCACGTGCGCGTTGCAGATGGCACCGAGGCTCTCGTTCACCATGTTTTTTGTGAAAAATTCGATTATGTCCTGAACAATATGCTAACACGATTACTTCTGTACATCCATGAACATCTATGAAATTGAGCCAAGAAGAAAACACAATGAATGCAGTACTACTGAACATAAACATTTTTTCAAGAAATTAAATCTGCATATAAGCATTTTCAAGAAAGATATACACAAGGCACACGATTTACCGAATGCTTCACGTCGCGCGGCAGCTTTTTTTCCTCGCCAGGAGCATACTCCATAGGCGTCCAGCTCCTTTTGCTCGGAGGAATAAGATTTTGATCCCACGTCACAAAATACAAATCCCCGTCCAAATCACTCCCCGAAGCTTCATTCGGGTGGGGCCTTTCACCCTTCTGCGGAAAAACAAGGCAGTCATATAAATGATGCAGCTCCGGGGCATCGACTGCCTCCAGAATTCGCACATCCCCCGGGTGAAGGCACGGGTTCTTCGCTATAGCCACGAGCCCTCTGACCACCTGCATCTTCCTATCATACCCCGAGAACTCCGGACCGTGGCCCACAAAACAGTTCTCCAAAGAAGGGGTCGACACCTGGACAAAACACTGCCCATGTTCGAGTACCCGACTCTCGTCCAGACAGCCCATCAGCCACCTTCCAGAAGGAACAAATATTCTTGCTTTCTCCCTCAAGTCCCCGAGCTGAGCTGTACGAATGCTCGTCAGCATCCCCCGAAGGTGAGGCTCAGTTTGTGGCCTGAAGCCGGCGCTAAGCATTATAGCGGCCGTATTCCCCTGATCGGAACACGAACCACTGAGAACATCGTAAGCCGTATCCGTGTCCTCGAGCATTCTATCAAGCCCCGAGACCATCTTCTCCTGCATTTCCCAGAACACATTGTCCCCGACCTCTAAGGCCGACAAAAGCGTGACAATTTGCCTGTTCAAAAAACCCGGCTGAAACCGAGTCCACGAACAGATCTCGAGCGTTGTGTGGGTCGACTCAAATTTCTTCATGCTTGGCCTGAGATACAGGCGGTGTCTGCCTTGTAAATTCGGCCAGCGTGCCACGACTCCCTTGTAGCCGGCGTACCTTATCTGGTAAGCACACGGCGGATTCGTTCTAAGCTGGAGCCTCTCGGCAACCTCCCGCGCCAGGTCATCCGTGATCATTCCGATTCCATCCGAGAAAACGTAATTATTATTCTCGACATCCTCGATTTTCGTGTCGACCTCGGTCAGGGGGACTTTCACCGTGGCGTAGGTCGACGAGAAGCACTGCCCCATCCTGGCCGCGCACTTGGCCACGACTCGGTTAGTGAACTTCCCCATCCAGCTCTTGATGTTGGCAACTCCAGTGCTCTTGTGGTCCGCGAAGAACCAGGCCGAACGGTCCCGCAGCTGGTTCGAAGAGAAGGCGAGAAAAGAGTACTTGCGGCCGCACAGGTGGAAACCGTTGGTCAGCACGTCTTTGACCCGCTTGAACATGGCGGTCCTTTGTGAGGCAGAGCCCGACGTGATGCCCCGGGCCATGGGGCCCACGTAGTAGGTCAGGACATTTTTGTTGAGCGTGAGCATGGCCTCGTCCGTGAACGTGACCCGAAGGAAGCGGTCGGCCACGTCCTTGTAGTGCCTGAGGACTCGGTTTGACAGCTCAACCTCCGGAGGAAGACAGTAGGCCTTGGATGGGGTTATTATCAGCCGCCGGACCTCGATGATGTCGGTGGACTCGTGCAAGGGTTGCTCGAGTAGCCTCGGGTTGTTCAGCAGCCATCTCTGGACGAGCTTCAGTGCGCGGAGGGCATCGTGCACGGGACGCTTGTAGGAGCAGATGTGCTTGAGGGCTGCTGTGTTGACCTCCTCAGTTTGACTTCTCAGCAGGTCGAAAAATTTCTCAGACATCTGGTGCTGGTTGATGATTCCCTTGTGTAAGACGGCATTCACTAAGAACAGAGTTTTGAAGGATATGCCCTCTCGATATTGGATACAGAAGAACTGGTCCGACATGGGCAGCCCGAAATCAGGCTCGTCACACACTTTAAGGCGCTCCCTCGGGCTTCCGTAGACAATGGGCACCCTACGCGTCCGAAGATATTCTAAGGCATCTTGGAGAGCCTTCCCGTTTCGAGGCCGAACAGAGATTCGGTAAGTGTTGCATCTGCCGAGGGCCCCACTGGGCGTGAAATCGGTCGTCCGGATCCATGGGTCGTCATCATCCAACAAATCGAAAGGCACTGGGTCCCGAATATCGTCATCCGCCGTTCGGTAGTAGACCAAAGGGGCGGAGGCCAGCTGGAGCAGAATTATTATTGAGGAAAAATCTTTACACTGTTTAATCTCGATGATTTCCCTAGGCATGAACTCGATCCTAAAGTCACACCTGATCACGACAGGCTTGGCCTCACCCGTGGCTGAGAAAGCTGTGTCCCTTGAGAACTGGAGCTTGCACCTCCCGTTAAACGGGTCAACAAGAAAGTCGACGCCCTTGTGGGGCCCTCTCCAGCCGACCAGGAGCTCCTCCCGGCTCCGCATGACCCCAATCTCGACGAGAACGTCGGGCAACTTGTACGGTTTTGTGGTCCGTCTCCTCTGGCTCATGTGGTGCGGGTTTTCGGGTCCCAAACTGATCCTTAAGGGTTTGCCCCTTAAAACAAGCTCCCCACAGCCTGCCTTGTCTAGCGCTTTTGTAGCCGAGCTTGCTAATATAAAATGGATAAAGGCGTGGGGTTCGACTTTTTCATAGTCTTCTTTACGCTGTATGTTGTATGTGTCAATTTCGAAATTTGGATAAGAACCCGGGGGAGTGGATGAGGTCTTCAGCCGGCACCTCGAAACCATTCCGATTTCATCTTCGAAAAAATCGACGAGCAAGTCGGCTGTGGCATTATTGTCCAGCCCCCCAACACTAATCTGAGTTACAATCATTTCTTTTTCCGTGGGCTCAGATCCCATTATTCTTTATTTTAAAGATGAATATCTGCAGGAGATAAACAGAACCCACTGTTAGAGAAAACATTTTAAATTACTACAATGTGGATAGGCACAAAAAATGTAAGGAGAAACAAACATCAGCTAATCAGAACTATGCACTGCACGAATATAAGGGAGTTACCGACTATTTGCTTAATTACAAATTGATATCAGATTCGCGATATCAAGAACCGAACCATCTGATTCTCAAATCAGACGTTTCATCAATTAAGAAAGTGGGTGCTGCCCCGGTACATTTTCAACTCAACAACAGAGCAGAAAGTACTCGATTTCATCGTCAAAGCATTCGGGGTATGCAAAGAGTAATCTTTCAGAGTATCAAAACGAATAACAAAACTTACTGAAGCCCCAACACACCAATAACATAATAGGCCTTTCCTTACGTTCAACCGGACTCCCACTTTCCGGTAAATGCAATCGACAACACTCAGTAACAGAAATGCAAGAAATTCCACTAACAAAAAAGTTATCTCTGGGATTTCTCATTGATCAAAAAACCCAAAAGCAAACAAAAACCACGAATCTCGACCGATACACGGCACGGGTTTTTCGACTGTAGGCAGCAAAATCGACATAATTTCGAACATGGGGGCAACTGAACATCATTAAACCAGTGAGGGAAAAACAGACAAGAATGCAACTTACATTCAGATTAACCAACTGATTAGTCCTTGCAATAACAACAGATGAAACACGCCAAGAATGTGTTGAGCGGGTGAGTACAACTGTAATTCATACACGGTGAAGGCATGAATAGTTAAAAAGATGACAGCTTTACTACTGTTGATACTAAAAACAAAGTGCCCAAATTAAAATCAAAACTGCAAATTCTTCGAAAACAGAAACATTACCTTATGCTGCTGCGATGGATTGATTAATCAGTAAGGATCGATGAACAGCACTCACTAATCGCTCTGCATACAAACAGTTGTTTTTAAGGGTGAAAAAATTAATGGAGACAATAATAATCAGAGGACTGTATACGAAGAGTTGAGGAGAAGAAAGTGAAGTGAAGTGTGTGTGTGTGTGTGTGTGTGTGTGTGTGTGTGTGTGTGTGTGTGTGTGTGATTGAAGCTTCTTTTATTTTTATTTTGTACCTTTTTTTTCAAGTTTGCTTGGCGTTGATATAAAAAATTTTGATAAAATGTTTTGAATGAAAAATGTGTCAAAGCTTAGAAAAAATATTTTGATATAAAGATAATATTTTTAATAGAAATATATTAAAATAATAAATATAAATATTTGGTAGTTATTACTTTATATATCTATATATATATATATATATATATATATATATATATATATATAAATGGGTTAAAATATACTAGACAGATAGAAAAATATTAAATAATAAATATAAATGATTCATAGTTACAACTCTTATCTACGGGAAATGCTACGTCCCGTTACGGAACTATTTTGTCGGGTTTTGTAACCGTTAGATCATCATGTAATCGTCAGATATAGTTGATTTAACGGTTATAGGCCCAAAAGAATGGTTCCGTAACGAGACCGTTATCTATACAAATAGGTTAAACTATGCTGGATACATTTTGCCATCAATTTTTTTTTTTTAATATAGTAAAAAAAGTCATAATTGTCATTTTTTATTTATTTAATTGTTCCTTACATTATTGAGTTGAGTGTATACAATAGAAGAATAATTTCACCAACAAAGCTCTATAATGGAACGATGCAAAAATTGACCTACAAGAGTTGAGGTTGTTGGAATTCTTCAATGCCGGCTAGTCGAACACGATGTCATCGTTAATAAAGTGGTGCGCTCGATCTGTAACGACAAGTACAAGAAGATGTTAGAATTTTGGCCTTTAATCATTTGAGCGAGTGTCAACAACGAAACAACCAAAAAAGAAATCTGACGCTCAGCTCAAGACTATGTAATCGTGTTTATGCACGATTAATTATTTTTTTTTTCCAAGCCGAGACGAGACGGGTCGATATTCAGGTTACCAAACGCATGATTACTCTTGGATAAAGCAATGATCTGGTCCTATCCATCAAAACAAATGGTTGACCACGGGCTGATTCGACATGTGGCCACCTCTAGTGAAGAGTGTGGATACTTGAAATGATAGAACGAAGCGAAATTAAGTTGACACATAAGTTCTTGTCTCTTTTATGGAGTTGGGTTTTGCTTGTTCTTTTGTCTTCTTGATGTAGTTTGTACCCCTTCGGACACATGTGTAGTTTAAAGGCGGTAGGTCCAGACTTTATGGTTTCTTTAGTATTAATTAGTTGACACCTTGGTTGTATTTTTCTGAGTTTTCTAGTTATTAATATTATTGCAGTTTGAAAAAAGGAAAAATTACAAAGAAGTTTAAGCCTCCTCTAACTGCATACACACTTCTTTCACAAAATGAACAATATACATGAAGATATCTGTAAAGGATGCTACTTTCAAATTGCGCCTGTAGCTCAGTGGATAGAGCGTCTGTTTCCTAAGCAGAAGGTCGTAGGTTCGACCCCTACCTGGCGCGTTTGGGTTTTTAACTATCTTTTGGTATTTCTTAATTCCTTTCGCTTTTTAATTCACTATTTCTAATTTTTTTTACTTTACTTTTTCCGCTTTTGCATTATTTTTTTTTTTCCCTAAAGGGGGATCAATACTGGTTCCCCAATCTCCCGAGTGACTCGAACTTGGGACATGGTACACGCCGAGCAAAGGTACGCGCCATAGCGCTAACCAGTGTTCTAAAAGTCGCTAGACGCCCGTTAGGCGCTCGACCAGCGCCTAGAGCGCCTAGGCGGGGCCTAGAAATCAATATTAAATACCTTATTTTTTATTTATTTAACTATTAACAAAATAAAAGTATCTCAACTTATAATAAATCGACACACCTAAGTCCACATAATAATATTAATATATTTTAAAGAAAACATGAGAACAAAATAATGTAATTAATATTTATAAAAAAAAAGTAAAAAATTGCCGCCGAGCCCGCCTAGGAGCGCCTAGGTCGTCTACGCCTGCCTAGGCGCCGCCTAACCGCCTGGCCGCTGAGCCTGCCAAGGCCGTCTAGGAGCGCCTAGGGCCGCTTAGGCGCCGCCTGGCCGATTTTTTTGGCTGATTTGTGCAAATCAGAGGCGCCCGGACACCGCCTAGCGCCTAGGCGCCGGCTAAGCAGCCGCCTAGGCCGACTTTTAGAACAATGGCGCTAACTCCTCTTCGTCTTGCACCATTCGTTATCCTTTTTTTTTTCGCGTTTTCGCACTTTAACAATTTATTATCTTTGTCTTTCCTTTTCTATCTCCATTCACTATAATTACTTTTTTTTTTAGTACAGGGACCTTCCGGTTTCCGGATCCACATAATTACTTTTGAACTATCTACAATGCGTATAATTAACTATTTATTATTTATACAATTATATATTTATTGCCTCTTATATTTGCACTATGTACATATTACAGTATTACTAGTACTCTTTTACCTGTGGACATGCACAAATAATGTCAATTTAATTATTCTAAATGTTAAGTTTAAAATTCTATGATATATTAATTAAAAATTATAATAAGTTATTGTTTATTATAAAACTTTTAGTTGTACATAACATTACATATCGATCGATTGCTTTTCTATAAATAATAATACTTTTATCCTTTTTTTATTCGTCATTTTTAAAATTATTGATATCGATTATGGCCGAAAATTTGATCATAGTAATTTACATGCAAATAAAACTTTGAGTATTGAAATAAAACTTTTCCGAAGCCGTTATAACATGCAAATAATGCATTCAATTCTTCTATTATGTGATGACCACGAGAATGAGGTGATCTTTGAAGTTCAATCTCCCATTCAAAAAACCTTACAAAATCCACGACCAACCCACCACACACCAAACACCAAAAACTTCACACCCCTCATCCCTCATAAGAGCCACAAAAAAACTTCAATAAAACTCACCCTAAGTAATCCCCTTTCATTCCCATACATAAACCATATGGCCGCCTTAGTCGCCGAGGCACCGGGCTTCCTCCAAGTCTTCTCCGATGGCACGGTCAAACGCTTTAACCCTAAGATTGTCGACCCATCCGCAAACCTCTCGGACAAATACGAGTCCAATGACATCATAATCGACCCGTCCAAGCCAATAACCGCTCGAATCTTTTCCCCCACCGACCAAATCAATCGGCTAAAACAACAACAAGAACAACATAAACTCCCTGTTATCGTCTACTTCCACGGTGGCGGCTTCTGCATCGGCTCCACCACGTGGCTCGGCTACCACGTCTTCCTCGGCAACCTGTCAGCCGTCGCCCGAGCCTACGTAGTCTCGGTCGACTACCGCCTCGCCCCGGAGCACAGGCTCCCGGCCGCCTACGATGACTGCCTCGCAGCCCTCGAGTGGCTCGGCTCGGCCCGCGGGCCGTGGCTCAACCGAGCCGACCGCTCGAGGGTTTTCCTATGCGGGGACAGCGCCGGCGGAAACATTGTCCACCGGGTCGCAGCCCTGTCTGTGCAAACGAATATCCCGGGAATCGTGATCAGAGGCCTCTTGCCCATCCACCCCTTTTTCGGGAGCGAAGAGCGGACAAAGCTAGAGGCGGCGGACGGCGGGTCAGCCAGTGAGGTGGCAATGAACGACATGTTTTGGCGGCTGAGCTTGCCGGAGGGTTCGGGCCGTGGCTTTTACGGGTGCGATTTCATGAAGGAGGATGTCGAGTGGGCTCGTTTTCCGGCGGTTTTGGTGTTTGTGGCCGGGATGGATTTCTTGAGAGAGAGAGGGGTAATGTATGCAGAGTTCTTGAAAGGGAAGGGTGTGGAGAGGGTGGACTTGATTGAGGCTGATGGGGAGGCGCACGTGTATCACGTGTGGAACCCGGAGTCGGAGGCCACATTTGTGCTACAAAAGCAGATTGCTAATTTCATAGAAAGCTTGTGATCATATTAAATAATAATGATATTAATAGTTGAAAATAATTTTACACTATTAATTATAATTAGCTTGGATTGTATTTGTATCTTCGAATGCAGTTTTAACTCAAAGTTAACTCTGGTTAGATCGCTTTTTAGCTTTGCCGCCCTTGTGGTCCTACCCGGCTCGATTCTGGATTAGTCGGTTCCCTTGTGGATCCAGAAACCGGAAGGTCCCTGTACCAAAAAAAAAAAAAAAAATAGTTACATGTTATGTTGTCACGTAATCACAATTTACTAAAGTGACTTGATGTGTAGGTTGTGGAATCAAAATCAAAGCTTGATAATACTCACTCGACTATGGGGGTGCAGCTTCTTGTTCTTCGAACAAATTAAAAAAAAAAAAAAGGAAACGATATTAATGATAATGCATCTCCGAAAACATGTAAAAATACCGATATATTGATGGTTTAATTTCTCGGAAGCTTTAGAAATCTTAAAAATCTATATCTATCTATATTATCTTAAAAGAGCCAATGAATCTATATTATATTATATTATATTATATTATATTATATTATTATCTTAAAAGAGCCAATGAGTCTGTAAAAAATTGTTTTGCCTAAATTACCCTTATTTTGTCAAACTAATTTTATAATTAAGTATTACTATTAATTTAATTAATATTAATAACCAGCACTAATCCTAATCCTAATTTCTAAACACAACATCTTAAAAGAGCCAATGAATCTGTAAAAAATTGTTTTGCCTAAATTACCCTTATTTTGTCAAACTAATTTTATAATTAAGTATTACTATTAATTTAATATTAATAACCAGCACTAATCCTAATCCCAATTTCTAAACACAACAAAATCTCTGCCCAAAAAAAACCCGAAAATCGATCGACTTTTATTTCGGGTGGTGAAGAAGACATCGATTAACTAAGAAATTCGCAGATCCTTCCCAGATCCTTTTGCCGTATGCTCACGATTCCGGTTTCAATATTTTCTCCCCGAGTCGATTTTTACGAAATCGGTGGACTTCCTCGAGTCGACTGGAAAACACACCGGTGAATTTAGGGATCGGAGTTTCTTTTGCCGTGAAGAATTTTCCGATCGGTTATTCGGCTGGTAAGGGGATTTAGATGAAATTGGGTACCTTTGGGATGATTTTGATTTCCCTTTATTGTTTATTCGACTGGAGTCATGCAAATTGTTGTGAAATCTGATCGAGATGGAGTTATTATTTTCCCTATTCTGCTACAAATTGTTCGTCATTAATAATGAATGATTTATTAACAATTGTTTACATGTAATTTTTTTCTTCCCATTGTTTGTATATGCAATTTTAGGATGATCTTCTTAGTTAAAAATTGAATATTAGAGTCAAATATTAATCTTTTGAGGTGGTCAGGGTTAAAGTTCTTTGTTGAAAAAGAGTGTTTGTGTTAAAAAGAAAATATAAAGAAGAAAGAACAAAGGGCAGAGGAGATCATGTGACTTGCAATGACTGCGAGCATTTGTATATAGGCATGGATGAGACATACGTTGCAGTTCAATCGATGTATAGTTGCATTTTGATTTCCCTTACTTGTCGAATAAAGAACAAATCCGGGAATTGGCCACAGCCTATCAATAAATTTTTTAATGTTGCATTTGTGATGTCTTGATTGTGGCGTCTTGATTATCGATTTTCAGACATACAGTCAACAGCCTCATGGAAATTGACCGTCCAAAGGCGCACCACGGCGGCCCTCTTCACGACTAGAAAACAGACGGGCAAAATTTAGGATTGGAGTTTCTTTTCGAGGATTTTACAGGTTCACGAAGCGGTAAGGGATAAGGAGATAAAGGCGAAATTTTGGTCTGCACTTGGAATTTCGATCGACGACGACATAGGACCAGGCGAGTCTTTTCTTGTAGTTCTGATTATGGCTTCCTTTTCCTGTCTGTAATCTTTTCCATTGTTTTGTATATGCAATTCTAGGATGATCTTCTTAGTTAAAAATTGAATATTGGAGGTGGTCAGGATTATCAATTATGTATTCGCTGCATTAATTGAAAAATTCTCACTACACCTTAGCTACCAATTATTAACAAAAACTTATGGTTCTAAGCACATAGAGGTCACACTGAAAACATGAAAGAGCTGCCTGACTTTACTTTTTAACTGGTATTTCATAGGATAACACATTTAGGGAACAAAATGCACTTCTCTTATAAAAAGATAACATGATTGAGAATTCCCCAAAATCTCACTTTTGTATGCTTCATACTTTTACCTCAACTAAACACAGTAGATTGAGCAAATAGCATATCATCAACATGAAAATATAAGTAAAAACAACATAATGATGTCGTAACATAAAAGGATTTAAATAACATGTTACAAACTCAAACAAAAATATATAAGAAATATAGAGGATAAGAATAATAGTCTTAATCAAAGCAAACGAGTCCACAATCTGCTGCCTTCGTATTTAATACACAAAATCTCGACAAGATATTCTTTTCCTTTGTTTCTATTTTATTTTAATTTCTCTTGCTAATTTTGGATTTTATTTTTTTTAATTAAATTTATTGTTCTTTGGCACAATGATTTAGTTTTTAAAGGATTTGATAAAAGTTGTAGCATGAGTCGAAGATTATCCACAGTTGATTTGTCAATTCCACGACATATATTGGGTGGCTTTTTTAAACATTTTCCACACCAAAATCTATATCTATCTATCTATACTATATTAAAAGAGCCAATGAATCTGAAAAATTTGTTTTGCCTAAATTACCCTTATTTTGTCAAATTAATTTTGTAATTAAATATTAGTAATTTAGTATTAATAATACACCAGCCCTATCCTAATCAATTTCTAAACACAACGAAATTTCTGCCTACCACGCGTGAGAGAGAGGAAGGCGACCAACAGCGACTTCACCATCTCCATCGCTCGATCGTGCGAACCCCCCGTCACCCCGTTCGGTTGAACAGCGAATTGTCCTTCATCCAGCCGTGCGTGAGGAATTTTTGAGAGGAGATAAACACCGTGAACATCGAACCGTGAGAGCAGCAGCGTCACCTCAATTTTGTAAGTTTTATGTTGTTTCTCTTGAAATTAATTTTATCACTGATCATATCATGGGTGTGGTTGAATTGTCATATAGTTTTGGGGGTTTCCCTAAATTCTTGGATGTGCTCGGATTTCTTGATCGTAGCTTCTTAATGTCTTGTGGATTCTGATTTCCTACAACCATAGGATTACCAGACATGTTTTTATTTGCTGTGTGTAGTGAAGAAGACATTTTCTTGTGATCAGACTAAATTGGAAAATATATGCAGTGTATGTTTTAGTGATCAGGCTGATGTTTATGCACTTACACGACCAAACATATCCTTTTTATAGTTCACGAAGAAGAAAATTCGGGGAGAACTTGCTGGAATTATAGAAAAAAGTTTTAACCTTTGAGCATTTTCTTCTTCAGCATTTCATATGGTCATCATCATCATTTACATGTCCAAGTATTTTTGCATCGTTGGTTGTTTGTTTGTGCCCGTACAGATTGGTGAATGTTGTCTTCTCGTCGAAGCCTGAAAACAAAGTCTCGGATAACTGAACTCCTAGACCAAATACAATTCACATACTCGAAGATAAAATATAGCATTAAAATTATTCTGTTAATTCATAAATGAAGAAACAAAAACATTTTTACTATAGATAAATGTCTTTCATACTTCATCAGTGACAGAAATCAGATCCCTTCTCCGGATAATCTGTGTTTGTGGTGAGAAGAATGTAACTTTGGTCGATATTTATATATAGAGGATAAGAAATAATCAAAGCAGACGAGTCCATAATCCGCTGCTTTTGAATAGGTTAAATCATACTAAAGCAGTGTCCTGTTTTTCGTATTTAAATCTCGACAAGATATTTCTTTACCTTCGTTTCTATTTTATTTTCACTTCTCTTGCTAATTTTAGATTTTATTTTTTGTTTTGAATTAAATTGTTCTTCGGCACAATGATTTAGTTTTTAAAGGATCTTATCAAGTTGTAGATGAGTCGAAGATCCACAGTTGATTTGTCAACATGTAATTCATATATATATATATATATATATAATTATATATAATATTAATATGCATTTTTCCATCTATTATATCATATAAAAGTTTACCTAATAAAAAATCATATTAAATTATTTTTGCATGTTATACACCATAAAGAAATTTATAGTAAACATTTTCATCATACTATTTATTTTGCATGATATATATATATATATATATATATATATATATATATATATATTTAACATTGTTATTCATTTGTATCATAGTGAAGGATGTATATCGACGTCGAAATGCGGCTAAGATGAAAAGAAAATACAACGATTTAGATGCTTATCAGAAGCAAGTATATTCTGTTAAAAAAAAAAAACATCGTCAAGGGCCAAAATATGGGTGTTGCATGTCTTGATACCGATGAAGTTTCATCTGGACCTAAAGGTTAGAAATATTTAATCCTCTAATACAAAATATATACATGTTTTTTTTCTAGATCTAAATGAGTACTATATGTTTCTTTTATACTTCAAGAATTTGTTTTTTTTTTTTGGTTGTTTCTATAATTTTATATTAGATTGTCATAACACATTTAAGTATTCTATATTTCATGCAGTTAGAGATGTAATGGTGTCAATTCTTTACTTTTGTACAATAAAAATATAAAGGATGCCTTTGTTGTATATTTGTCATTATGTTTTATTCACCCATAAATATAACTATTAAAATCACATGTACTTAATGAGATTTACTAGAGATATATTATTAGTACTCTATTATTATTGTACATAGAAAAAATAAATAAGGCATTTCATTCCTTTATGTGATTTAATAAATAATTGGTCTTTGTCATTTTTTAGGTTCAATTATCAAAGGGAATGTATGTTTAGCGATACATGAGTTGGAAAAAATGCCCAATTGCATACATTGCAGTGCAATGAAATTTCAGTACGAGTGTCCAACATTTTGT